GTTATCTCTATCGAGCTCATTACGTTGCTGATAGATCCTCCACTCAAGAAAAAACATACTAAAGCAGATTGAAAAAAGAAATATCAGAAGTGTTAATCCCACAAGTGAGGTCTTGTGAAGGTACTAATCTACGCAAATTGTACCCCTATCTTGAGAGGTAGCCAGTACTAAAATTGTTTTGATAAACCCTTAATTTATAGGAAAGCATATCAAAGCAGATCGAAAAATGAAATCACGATAAAATACTATAGAAAACATGATAAAATATTCTGAAAAAAGAACAATAACTACGACAAAATAGTGCGATGAGTTAAATGAGTTGGAAACACAAGAAAAATATTTTTTTATAAAGAAAAAGTTTGATATGAAATGGGAAATGGAAGAAAAGAAGGGCCACAACTCATGGGAGAGCATATATTCCCTTACAACATATGTTTCCAGATATGGAGTGAGAAAACAACATGGGACACCCTTAACAAACTTCCCAATTATATATACAACTATAAGAGTTGCCACATTTTTCAGACACACAAAAGCAAACTCTTTTCTACATGATTCAATTCAAAAAATACAAATACATTTCTACCTTGTAAATCAACAACAAAAGATGGCTCTTGATCAAAATGCACAACAAACTAAAGATATGAACTTAGTTTTATCAAGTGATGCTAAGCCTAGACTAAAATGGACTCCTGATCTTCATCAACGATTCGTCGATGCAGTCTCTCAACTAGGAGGTCCAGATAGTAAGTACTTTTTACCTGCTCGGATCCTCCAAAAATGTCGTTGTTGCACTTGTGTCAACTGACATAGGTGCAACAACTTATTCTTGTTACAAATTTAAATATTACTATTTGATTGATAATGTAGAGGCTACACCAAAATCATTGATGAGAGTGATGAACATTCATGGACTAACTTTATATCACCTCAAGAGCCATTTACAGGTAACTATGTTGCTCAGATTCTTTAAAAATATTGTCGCACCCTTATCAGATCCTCCAAAAATGCACGACTTTGAACTAATTGATTGGTTTTCCTCGTTGTACAGAAATATCGTCTAGGAAAGAGTTCGGTGACTGATCAATCTTTTGATGAAAACAAACAAGAAGTTAAATTGGATTTGTGTGAAATAGTACCTAATGATGATGATGCAAAGGGAAATGAAATCTCCAGAGGCTTAAAGCAGAGGACTTATTTTGATACAGAGTTGCCTCAGAGTGATCATAAGTTATCTTTGGGAGTATGTGATGGATCTCAAAATCAGATGAATGAGTAATGATTTCTTCTCTTTGAATCCAATAAATTAAGATCTCGTTTGGTCGTAGATTTTGAAGTTGAAACTTGAAAATTTTGAGTTTCTAAAGTTGTGTTTAAACATGCATTTTGTGAGTGGAAGTACCAAAAAGTGGTATGAGCCAGTTTTTGAAAACTTGAAAATATTTTAATGTTATATTTTGAGTCTGATCAAATTTGATGGTCAAACAGATATTTGAAGATAAACTTTCAAAATCTGATCCAAAATCTATGGTCAAACGCTGGTTAACATAGAAACTTCACAAGCATTTACAACATCTAACTAGTTAAATCTTTTCTCAGGAGTTTCCAAATTGCAAGAGCTTTACAAATGCAAATGGATGTACAAAGGAAACTTTATCAACAAATTGAGGTAAAAATTTATCAAAAGATATGAATATCTTGTTGATTTACATGTGCATACTTTTCCAAGATATTTACAAATTTGTATGTATTCGAGGATGATTCATCATAAATTGACTAGTTTTACACTGTTCGTCATAAGGGGTGTGTTACGCTATAGATCAACATAAACTAGTCAAGTCATGATGAATCCTCACAATACATACAAAATTTTAACTGTCCCCAACTTTCTTGGGATTGAGGCGTAGTTATTGTACTTATTTTAGGTACAAAGACATTTACAACTTAGGATTGAAGCACAAGGCAAGTATTTACAATCAGTTTTAAGAAAAGCACAAGAGACACTAGCAGGATATGGTACTTCTTCAGGAGTTGAACTTGCTAAAGCTGAACTCTCACAATTAGTTTCAATGGTTAACATGGGATGTTGTCCAAGTTCTTCATTATCAGTCATAACAGAAATCGATTGTTCAATCTCGAAAGACACAGAGAATAAAACATTGAAAGAAGGAATCTTGTGTTCGATTGAAAGTTCGTTAACATCTTCTGAGAGCTCAGCAAGAAAGGATATTTGTGGACTTTCATTGAATCAAGAAACTAAAGGGAAAAAAAGAAGTAGACATAACATTTGTGGTGATGAACAATCATCTGGTAAAAGATATTTGGAGACAATTGATTTGAACAGAAAATGTCCAGATGAGTATGATGAAAATGTTACAAAAGTTATAGACTTGAATGAGTATAGTTAGTATTGTATTTATTTTTATTCTCTATAAAAGTCATTGATTCTTATAGCTAGTAATGTTGTTTATAGAAAAAAATACTAATAATAATATGTATATTGTTTTGTGAATGAAACTTAAGAGAACTTTTTAAAGTATATCCATTTTGATAGGTATTGGATATAATGAGCACAAATTCACAAGTCACAACTCTGTTTTCCCTGTTTCACATTTACTAAAAGTACATGAATCTATTCCATTGCAGAGAATTGAGTCCAATAACATATGGTTAATCTGATAACAACATATTCAGTATAATCTCACAAGTAGGGTCTGGGGAGGGTAAAGTGTATGCAGACTTTATTCCTACTTCGTAGAGATAGAGGAGTTGTTTCTAATAGACCCTCAGCATAAATAAAGCATTCTAAATAGTTTGGGAAAAGGGGTTATAATATGAAAGCAATAGCAACAACGAAATAATGTGAAATAGAGAGCATTACACAATAAACATAACATCAACAACAACAAAAGAAAAAGTGTAAGCTCTCAAGTGAAGTCTCGGGAGAATAAATTGTACGCAACCTTAATTCTATTTTTATGGGGTAGAGAGGTTGTTTCTGATTGATCCTCGGCAACCATCCACCTTTATCCAGACTTGAAACCGACAATGTGAACGAGCTCAGACAGGCCAAGTTAGATAGTCAATTTGATTTATGAAAAAAAATGAATATGATGTTGAAAGATTATTCAAAGTGAAGTTCTTCTACCATAGGTGCAAAACAACTCAAGAGAATATGTGTAGATAAATGGCATCTCTTTTTTAGTTTTTCTTTTCTTTTCTTGTGATACCATATTCTAACTCAGGTGCATATGAGCTGCTAAACTTGGAGAATCTATATGTTCTAGGAATCCCATTTTTTGTTATGCTTTTCTAAAGATGCAAGCAAGGAATTTGAACTACACCAAAAAGGAATATTTATTTGTTTTAGAAATCAATACAAATGAATAATAGTACTATAGAGCAAACAAGGAAAATAGAAAATGCTTAGGACAGCTTTCTTAATTAGTGAGGGTATAAATCTCTGAGGAATTTTAAGTTATATGCATCGACAATATAAGAAAATAATTACACTATCATTGTAGTTTAATGTGTTCGTCACTTATCAAATATTGTCATGTGAACAATTTTAACCATGTATTAGTAATTCTTTCTTTCTTTGAAAGGGTTTATTAGAAACAGTCTATCTACCTTTGTAAGATAGGCATAAGGTTGCGAACACATCATCTTCTTCAGACCCCACGTGTGGAATTGCCGTGAGTATATTGTTGTTGTAATAGAGTACTCTTTCTTTGTTACTTTAATAATGGAAAAAATATATAACTTGAACCAAAAATCAGGTTAGGATGGTGAGAAGGAAGAAAATGGAACTCAATACTAAAACACATGAGAATATTTGAAAAGTGGTATACAAAATTAAGCAGAGAAATAGAGAGAGAGAAATGAACTAGCCAAAGTAGAAGTGAAATATCATCTCAAAAAGGCCTAAATGAGTAAAAAATAATCTTAGCCCAATAACACAATAAAGTTAAATTTAACCTTTAGTTGTCCAATAGATTGAATTGTTAAGTCAGAATGAGACTTTAAAATAACTTAAACTAATTGACAAATGATTTATCCATAGTAAAATCATAATTTCTTCTTTCACAAAAAAATCATAGGATAAAATTTGTGTATATTTCACTCTCTCCGTGCCTTATTTTTTTTATAATCTATCAGAAACAATCTATTTTATCTCAAAAAAACAGAATAAGATAGCTTTGTGTGTACCCTATCTCACTTGTAAAACTGTAATGGATATTTTATTGTTATTAAGCAAGAGGCCATAGGCTACTGATCAAGTTTTAAGTGGAAAAAACTAAATATTAACACAAAAGTTTTTGAAAATTAGCTTTTGTACTAAATTTGGAGGTTCAATTTTGATCTCCCAGTGCAACCTAAATTAGTGCAAGTTTTAGCCTTACAACTCTCCTAGAGTGGGTGAGAGTCAAAATTAATCTTTTAAGATAGATTTATACAAAAACTCTCTATAAATAAAAACTACATGGATAGTGGTTTGTCTCAAGTTTGATAAACAAGAGAGATTTAACTATAATTTAATTATAAGGAAAATGATTGTGTTCCATTAAAAGAAGTGATACATGATTCAATAAATGAGCTTGTTGCTTTTTTAATCAAAAATTTCAAATTTAATTAAGATTTAATGAGAATCCCCCCAAATGAGACAGGTTGTTCTTGTTTTAATTAAAGGTCTCGAGTTTGATAAAAAGACCTCCCTACATGAAACCATACCCAACTCGAATTAACAAAGGGGAAAATGATTGTATAAATAAGTATCTTTTCTTCTATCTACATATTGTTTCATTTCATGATTTATCATATTGCATTTAATTGTATCATTTGAATAAATATTTGAATGAATTTTATTGTTTTTAATTACTATATAATATCACACATTATAACACGAAAAATAGTCCTAGAAAAATAAGATACGAAACAGAATTATGATGAAAAAAAAATAGGTTAAAAGATAAAAACAAATAAAATAGTAAGTAACTAAATAACAAATAAAAATAAACCTCCATTTTACCATATTCAACAAACAACAAAATGTGGCTCTGTACAATAACATTATTCTTTAAAAAAACTGCAAATTTTGAACAAAAAAATTAAAAGTTGCTTTTAAGCTTCTGATGCATGATCATTTTCAGAACTAAAATTAGCTGAAACTGTTTGATTATTATGATTTTCTGAACTTGAAAAACTCATCCAAATCTCTCTCCTTCTTCCTCGATTTTTCGAATCACCATTTTCTTCGGGCATTTTATACCTACAAATCGGACACGACCCATGAATCTTCAACCATTTTTCAACACAATCTCCATGAAATCTATGCTTACAAGGCATTTCTTTCACTACCCCACCAATTACCCAATCATCCAAACATATAGAGCACTCCCCTTTTTCTCCTTCTTCGCAAATCTCAACAGTTGAAAGTGCATCAATTGATGCTTTGGAAGCTGGTGGTTGACCTTCTTTGCTCATCAATTCGTTCAGAAATGAATCTAAAGTAGTAGATGAACGGGTTTCCATTACTATCATATTTTGGGTTAACGGGTTAACGAGGATGATCCGATCGGAAAACTCAGATTGGGTTGTTGATTCATCTGTTTCTTCATCTGGGTTTGATGAAATTGAATTGTTCGTGATGGATAAAATGAAAGGTAAAAACAAAGAAAGGTCTATGTTTCTGGAATTCATCAAATTCTCCATCAACGATGATACCGATTCTGATTCTGAAGCCATTAAATTAAGAATTTACAGAGAAATTTGGAGAAGAAGATTCATAATAGAAAGTTAATAGTTGCAGATGAGTGAAGATATAATGGAGGCAAAGAAGCACACAGAAAGTTGTAGAAGATTCTGGAATTATGTAGACAGTTAACTGTGGTGGTTGAATTTTATGATTTGATTAATTTAATTAATTAATTAGTGTTTATCCTTTTGAGATAGATGGCAGATATTTTTGAGGGATTTGATCTAATACTAGTGAGTCTTTACTTTCATTCTATGGTCCAGCACCATTGAACTTGTCAACTTGTAAATATTAGTGTTTTAAAAGGGTAGTTTTGGAAATTGTCTTGGGGCGGGGCACTGGTAAAACGTAATGAGGTTCATGTCTGAGGTTTAGTTTTGTGATTTGATTGTATGTTTTAAACACGTCTAATGGTCAATGCTCGAGGTTTATCTAATTGTTAAGGTAATGAGATTCATGTATGGAATTTAGTTTTGTATAATAGAAAGTTAATAGTTGCAGATGAGTGAAGATATAATGGAGGCAAAGAAGCACACAGAAAGTTGTAGAAGATTCTGGAATTATGTAGACAGTTAACTGTGGTGGTTGAATTTTATGATTTGATTAATTTAATTAATTAATTAGTGTTTATCCTTTTGAGATAGATGGCAGATATTTTTGAGGGATTTGATCTAATACTAGTGAGTCTTTACTTTCATTCTATGGTCCAGCACCATTGAACTTGTCAACTTGTAAATATTAGTGTTTTAAAAGGGTAGTTTTGGAAATTGTCTTGGGGCGGGGCACTGGTAAAACGTAATGAGGTTCATGTCTGAGGTTTAGTTTTGTGATTTGATTGTATGTTTTAAACACGTCTAATGGTCAATGCTCAAGGTTTACCTAACTGTTTTTGTATAAATTATGTGTCAAATTACTCAATAGTATTGTTAGTTTAAATACGTCTAATGGTCAATGCTCGAGGTTTACCTAACTGTTTTTGTACAAATTATGTGTCAAAATTACTCAATAGTATTGTTAGTTTAAATGCATATTTATTTCGATTGTTAATTCAATTGTATTACTATATCATATTGTTTTAAAACCATAGTTAGGTAACAAAGAAAAATCTCATTTTGTGTAACGATCAATTTAGTGGGATTGTGTTGTTACATTAATATTTTTCTTCTCATTTTGGCAAGTCACTTATTATTTAATAATTCTATTTTATCTTTCACTCTACCTTTTTCATTGTAGCTTTATTCATACCCTATTTTTCTTGTAAGTTTCTCATTCAAATTATTAATTCGTAACATTATGTAAATTCAATACCCTTGTCCATGTGCTATAGTTTTATCTTCTTTTTTTGACAATTCTTTAATTCAAACTTTTCAATTAATAGACATGTTTAAGAATTAAGAGCATTAAAAACAATTTTAGTATATTCTACATGCATTTAAAGACGATAATTATTATTTTTATTTTTCTCCGGAGTTTAATTCTAAAAAACACGTTTGATCATGAGATTTCGAAAAATTTCATGGACTACAACTTTCTTTGCTTATTTTGGGCTTATATCCAGCCCAAAACCAATATACTTATTAATTGAGTCCAAAAACTATTTTATTCCCTTCTTATTATCTTCTGCAGAGTGATAGAGTGTGTGCCATGGGAAGAAGGTATTTTGCAGATAACCTGTTTGATTAAATTCCCCAAAAGAGCGAGGCACCAAAATGTCCATTTTTGAGAAATGGGTCTGCTTTGATTTCTCTTAGCAAGTTAAAAAACTAGCCTTAAAGAATGGCAACAATGGCTTTGAGTAATGTTTGTTCGCTAAAAATCAAGACTTGTGAGCTCTTTGGAATTTGTATAAATCACTCATATACCACTCTTCCTATCCAAATTAAAAGTAAGTTTTAATGGTCAATTGCTCTAAAGTTTCTAGCTTTACTAGATAATAATGTCTTTTGGTTCTGCTTTGTACTTAGCTTTGTATATTATACTTTGTAGGGTTAGACATGAAGCCATTGGTAATTCAAGCTACAGCTAAAGCTAATTCTCGGACTGAGAGTGCTAAACTTCGAAATAGGCGAATTCGAAAGAAGGTATGTGACATTTGTTAAAATTATGGCTCTTGATATTTCTGCCCAGCAAAATAATGTTGTGTCAAATTTGAGATATGATAAGCTATTTAATGTAGCCACATTTCTGTGTTATAACTTCAGCTTACTAAGGACCCTAGATAGGATGGTAGGAAGGTCGGTAGGTAGCTGAGTGTGGCTGCATGTTAGGTGTGAGAAGCAAGGGGGCTAGCCCTATATCCTCTTCTCCTTATTAGTAGTAGTGTTTAGTAATCGCGTAATTTCTTTTCTTTAATGTGTTTCAACTATCTATTGCTTCATTTTGCTTTGTATCATGTCATTTTTACTTCTTGCAACCCTTCTCTGAATAACTTCTCTATTGAGCCGAGAGTCTATTGGAAACAACCTCTCTACACTCATAAAGATAGGGCTATGGTCTGCCTACATCTTATCCTCCCCAGACTCTATTTGTAGAATTACACTAGGTATGTTGTTGTTGTTAAGTAATGGTAGTGCAGAAGATTGGTGCTGATGTATTTTATTGCAATATTTTGGTGTTCGGATAGAAAGAAGAAACTAATTTATGTAACTTGGCTTTAAGATCATACAATGTTGAGCACAGATTGATCGTTTCTGCTTAGAAACAGAACAAGTGTACATAATTGAAGAAGGTAAATGCAAATAATTTATTGGTTTCTTGGCATATTTGTATAGGAGTAGCAAGCAATGACTTCAACTTTCTTACCTAACGGATTACCATTTCATGCTTTCACCCGTTGCATAAAGACCATCAGGCTTCGACAACATGGCTCTTCTATAAGGACACTCATATGTCATATTACCTACACCACGACATTTAAAACATTGCATATCTCCATATCTAGTCACTTTTTATTTGGTCTTTGGCAGTTTAATGGCACTCCTGAAAAACCAAGACTTTCAGTCTTCTGCTCAGAAAAACAGTTGTATGCTACCCTGATAGATGACCAGAACAAGAAGTGCTTGTTTTACGGAAGCACTTTGCAAAAATCAATCCGCGGTGATCCACCTTGCAACACCATAGTGAGTATCTACAGCACATTGAGACCATACTTTTGTAATGTTATGGCAAATTTCTATGTTTTCTTGTTACAACCATTATGGGATTTTCAAGTCATGGCATTATTCCCTAACTTTGTCCCTCTCGATCACAGGAAGCAGCAGAACGTGTTGGTGAGCAACTAGTGCAGACTTGTGTTGATCTCAACATCGATGAAATTTCAACTTATGATCGAAATGGTTTTGCTCGAGGAGAAAGAATGCAAGCCTTTGAGATTGCCATTTCTCGACATGGTTTCCTGTTCAAATAGTTCTTCCTTATTTTCTATGTGCATTTTGTATAGATAACCTATAAAGATTCTGGAGCTCTAACCTTTTACAAAAGTAGTATATAATTGCAGTGGCAAAATAATTCAGAATTTAGACGTTGTGTGTTTTGAAATACACGAGTGAGTTATGATGTAAATCTAAATTCCATCTATACTTGGTTTTTGGCACATGCATATACATTTCAATCTCAAAAATTGTTGGATCCGCTACTAATCATGTGTGTGAACCGTGACCTAGTGATCAATAAAGTGGATTGAGAACCTGAAATATCAAGTTCAAGTCTTAGAAGAAACAAAACCACTAGATGAGTTTGTTAGATAGAGTTATCTTATATTTGTTATTTTATCAGATTATAGTTTGTTGTTGTACAATTTAAGATATTTTTATTTTTATTTGCTCTAGACGTATAGTCAAAAATCGAAGTTCTATTTTCCTTTTGTCCAACCAATTTTGAATAATTCATTATCTGAATAAGAAAATGGAGGGAAGGAAAAATCAATTGCCTGTTATAAAAAAAACAGTAATTGTTAGCTTTTTTTTTAACATAGAATTTTTATTTCTTTTTTCTTTTTTTATTACAAGCTCTATGATGATCAAAAAATACTTAGTTCTCTCTAGCTTTTATTTTCTTCATGTTTGTTAGGTAGCGGAAGTTAGGTACTTCAATAGGATTAGTAAGGTAAGGTCTAGCCTCCCTTGCTTGTACTTGTCCCTATTGATATTTTTTATGTTTAATAAAAGACCGCTAGACACTGTCTAGTGGTAAATTTGCTCAAAAAAATAAAATAGAAAAATGTTTCTGCTGCGACTCATAAACATTTTTTATATTGGCCAAACACCTTGTATTTTCAAAAGAAAAATATTTCTTTTATTTCAAAAATTTCAAAAAAGTGCTTTTCGGTTGACGATTTTAAACTGCTTAGTATATTAACTGACACTGATAAATTTTAACTATGAAGAATACAGTTATAAGTAGTTTCAAATTCAAACATTTAAACTGCTTACGATAATTGTTAGATAAATACAAATTTACGTAAGTTTTAAAAAATAAAAAATAAAAAGATGAAAAGGAGTGCTTGCTATTGTCAAGGGAGTCATAAAACGTATATTTAGTTGCTACAAATAAGGGGCTTTTTATTTTATTTTATTTTATAGTATAATATATATACATATATTTGTGCTACAAATAAGTATTGTTTACATTTCTACTCTATTCGAATAGGGCGAAACGTCGCGATGACTCAAAAAATAAACAATTGATTCGATTTTAAAAGAATTTTAAGAAAATAAAAAATTTAAAGGAGTCGCTACCTAATTTTAGGAAAACTAGGAAACCATTAAGTGATCTACGAAACCATTAGATTTTAAGTAAGGGGTTCAAGTTATTTCAAAGGGAAGGGGTTAGGCATCCTTCGAAATCCACAAATGTGGATCCCAATTGAATTCATTTTTTTCAAATTGAGGAGTAGGATAAAATATTGTACCAGTATAATAAACATGCAATATACACAAGTAAAATGATAAAACAATAATATAAGAATCGGCCTAAATTTGCCTATCGTCAATAATATACAATAATGAATAAGAGTATAATTCGAACCTAGTTCGAATAGCTTCAACGAAAAGCATCTTCGGGGTACCTGTAAACACACTTAGTAAAAGTGTTAATAGTAA